CTGCAGGGCCGAGAGCCCCCGGAAGTCTTCTGCTCTCATCCCCTCTGCTGCTGCTGCTGCTGCTGCTGCTGCTGCTGCTGCTGCTGCTGCTGCTGCTGTTCTGGGTCTCCTCCCTCTAGCAAAGAGCTCTTTTTCAGGGCCCTGATTACTATAAGCAAAGGCGGAGCCCTCGTTGTATTGCCTTAGGTGGCTGTAGGGGGCTCCGTCGTCATAGAAAGAGGCTGCCCCCTCTGCCTCTTCTCCTCCTTGAGAGGTGAAGACCCCGGATTCAGCTGCTCCATCTGCACGCGATCCTTCTGCTGCTGCTGCAGCAGCGAGTGGGTCCTGAGTAAAGGCGGCTGCTGCGGGTCGCCCAGCAGAGGCAACGCCTGGCGGCCCCTCAGGAGAGAAGAGAGTTAGGGAGGGGGCAGGCCCCCATTTACGCAGACGCACCACAGCAGATGCTGTCTCAGCTGCAGCAAATGCAAAGCAGAGCACAAAAGAAGCAACACGTAAGCTTTAGTATAGAGGGAAATAAGTAAAGAAGAAATAACCTGCAGCACATATAGCAACACAACATACAAATGCACGCCAACAACCCACACCGTCTACACCAGCAGACGAAGACATCTCTGTAGATAACTCAGAGCCTCAGCAACAACAAGAAAAGGAAACGGGGTTCGTTTCATATCAGCATGGGCACAAACACAAGTCAAGAGTGGAAACTCGGTGTTGTCGGCTGCGCTACCAGAGGAGAGAGGCGGGGCTAAAAGGGTATGTTTGGGGTTAGCTATGCTGAAATAATTAAGAGAAAAAAGAATGATAGGGCAGCGCGATGCAACATGCAGCAGACAAGCTCTCAAGGACGCAAATACCGAGCGGCCGCTGCAGCTGCAGTGTGTGAATGAAGGGGAGCCGTTGTTTTCTGTACAAGTTCTCTGCTCTCCTTTGCTTTATATGCAATTTCAACTCACCAAACGATAAAAAAAAGAAACAAAGAAACGGGAGTGTACAGGCAAGGCGCCTCGTCGGGCCCAGGCCCTCTGAGCCGCCACTCATCCTGAATTCCTGCCTGGGGCGCTTAAGGGTCGAGCTATTGGGTCTAAATTTGTGGTATATGAGACATAATCGATGAGATACAGCCGAAAAAGTGCTTGAAAATCCCTTAAAAAGCATTTAAACGATCTCTTAGAGCCGTCAATATTCACAAGGCTGGGCCTCTCGACAGGGCTTCCGTGCCTCGGGCTCGCGCGGGTCGGCAGCAGCAGATTCTTCTAGCGATATGATAAGAAAAGCTAATCTAATTCATTATTACTCTTTAAATATCTTTATAAGTGCATTTGAAACAAAGAAGAACGCATTGTTTTCCCTCTCTCTTTACTCTCCTCTTCTGCCGTCTACCGCCGACCGCGCCGCTAGACCACTGGAAACCTGCAAGATGCGCAGCGCGAGCTGCGGAGCTCGGGGGTTATTCTATTGAATATTATTTTGTATTCTACAATCCTATTTAAATAATTATTCCTTTTTTGTATATACCTTTTTCTTTATTGGGTTGTGCCCCGCTACTGCGCTCCGGTGCAGCTTTCCCGCCCTTCCGTCCGTCACAGCCGTAGTTTCTGTCGGCGGTGCGGTGGTAAGCAGTGGCGTTGTGTCTGCGCTCTCTCAAGCCTCTTTTTCTCTCTCTACGCATTTTAATTTCTTTAAAGTGTCATTTGTTACAATAAAATAAAGCCCAATGACGCAGAACGATAGCTGGTTTCAACAACAGCAGGGAATGGGCCGCCTGCGTAGTTTTTTTGTTCCTCATGGGCCTCTGCCTCTCTGCATCGTCGTTGCCTCTTTAGCTGAAGTTGAACTGTACACTCAAATTTAGTGCTTCTTATATGCCTATCCTTTATAGGGAATTCCAGTAGGGCCCGTTTTTTGCTTAAGAAGGGGTCAATTTGTGCTGCTTGAAAGGGGATGCAGCTTTAGTATTAATTGCAAAAGTAAATTAAGTATATTTAATGCTAAATATGATGATGAGACACCTCAATTCAGGGCTTCTTTCTGTCCTTCTTTGTCTCTAGCTAGTATGAACAATTGCGGTATAGTGTGCAAGCGAACAGGACATATAAACCCCATACACTCCTCAATACCAGAGGGTACACTTTGGTGTATAAATGCAAAATGTTTGATTGGTTTTTCTTTGTTTTTAAATTAATAACCGACTGTACAGTGATATTTCAAACTGCTCGTGAGCTGAAAGGAAAGGAGAACACGAACCGTGAATTGCATTTGTGCTGTCCCTCTGACATAAAAAGACAAATTTATTGTTGCTTAGAGGCTCATAAGAAGAGACAAAGCAAATAAAAGAGAAGTTGGTGTGGGGGAGGAAACAAAAGGTGAAAAAGGAGTAAGAACAGACTGCTCGTATTCTATTCTTATTCCCTTATGAGGAGAGAAAGCTCGCCGCTTCTTTCCTTGGGTTTATCTTTGTATGAGAGGAGTTGTTTTTTCTCCTCTTTCGAATGCGTGCAGGAGCACATTGTCTATTTGGTGTTTTTGAATATTTTAATATATTTTAATATCCTCACTACTACATGCGCAGCATGTAGCTATCATATTCGTTGCTTCTTGGGCTCATGTTGCTGGTTGTATTTGTCGCTTGATCGTCNGCAGCATGTAGCTATCATATTCGTTGCTTCTTGGGCTCATGTTGCTGGTTGTATTTGTCGCTTGATCGTCAGTACTGTTCATTGGGTTTATTTTATTTTCTGTTTTTAAATGTCTCATCAATAATTTTGATGCCTCCGCTGTTAGCTGCGACTTGCGGCGGTTTCGGTTTTTCACAGAGTCAGAGACAAACCAAGTCAGCTGGCGGTGGCGTTCCTTCAGGGCTGCTATCTGTTGAGCAGAAACGCAACAATTAATTATAAAAAAACAATTCGAAATAATAATATTGTAAGGAAATTAACATGTATAATCCTCACGAGCAACATAATAATACACAGAAGGCAAAAGAAAGAGAACGAGGGGGAGAAAATACACAACACCCACAACAGAACAAACAACAGAGCCTGCACAGCAGCCAGAAGAAAGAAAACTATATACAAAACAAGCAAAAGAAAGAATATACGTGAAACAAACTGCAACACAATCAAAAAGGAAAAAACAAAGAAAAGGAAATGAATGAAATGCATTAAAGTACTTCTGCTGCCATCTCTTTGAGTTTTGTTTCTGTCGNAAAGAAAAGGAAATGAATGAAATGCATTAAAGTACTTCTGCTGCCATCTCTTTGAGTTTTGTTTCTGTCGCCTGCCAGTCAGCAGAAAGAAGTTCTGAGTTGACGATATCCATTTGACATTTAATTTTTTCATTTTGTAATTTATATTCTGTTCTTTCTCTCTTTAATCGAGCCACCAGATCGCGCTGTTCAGCTAGCTGCTCATCAAGGGCAGCCAGCTCTGCTTGTGCTGCTGCATTTTTCCTCTCCTGAAACGCAATATGTTCTCTCCAGTGCGTTATTAGCTGAAATAAAACAAACACAATAAACCAAACAAACCAGTATATGCAAAAGAAACAAGAAAGAAGCAGACGCGCAACGAAGGAAGCGCAAGCTCTCAACAGTGAAAAAGAGGAACGTTATATTTTGTTGTATTCAAAACATACCATAATACAAAACAATGCAATACAATACAATAGTATATTATACCATCTCTGTTTATAATTAGTACCTTCTTTGCTCTTTATATTTCTCTTTCGTGCTTGAGAAGGGTTTCTCGTTGAGTGTTTAGGGTTTAGGGTTTAGGGTTCAGGGTTAATTTTCAAGTACTTGCGCCGCTTTTTTGGCTATATTTTGTAGCTTGACGGCTTCTTCTTGTCGTTCTACGATTTTTTCATTGAGTGTTTGGTTTTCCATTTTGAGTTGTTCGAAGTTCATTGCTTGTATGACGCTGCAGTTATCTGTTTGGTATGTTCCTCTTTTTTTATGTATTCCTAATTTTACTTCCATTTCTGTTTCTGTTTTTAAAAGATCTGCACGTAGACGATCTATTACTTGCTGCTGCTCCTCTTGCTGCTGCAGCAGCTTCATCACCTGCTGCTCAGGCACCCGCTTTCCTCCTTTTTCCATCACTGTGTTCCTCGCTACCTCTAACACGAAATCGCTTCACAACACAAATTAAACAAGCAAAAAAACATAAACAAAAACATATATCATACAAATAATATACCCTAAACCCTACGTATTCAACCCTAAACCCGAGAAACTAAACGTGAAACCCTACACACTAAACACCAGACCCTAACTTCTGAACTCTAAACGCTAACCTATACATTCTAAACCCTTAAACCCTAGCCCATACACTCGAACTCCTAAACCCTAAACCCTAAAC